GCAAGCTCCTTATAGCAAATTTTAAAAAAGGATTAAAGAAAAGTTCCAGGAATAAACTATTAATAAATTTTAAATTGCATGCTCTTTTGAGCAGCATGATGAAATTTTGTGCTGTCTCACTCATTCTGCCTGGGACGTGAATCATTCCTTTGCGTGGCTTATTCATGTCTACACTACCTTCCCGCTAATCACCTGGTAACTGTCCAGGGCGTTGGATTAACTGTCATGGTATTGCAGTGCTTGTGTTCAGATAATCCTTATTTTACTTAATATGACTCCAAGGTGCAGAGGAAGTGAGCTGGCATAATATTATAATTGTTCTATTTTATTGGCCATGTTAATCCTTCTGCCTAATTTACAAATTAAGCTTTATGTTAGGTATGTAATGTAGGCGAAAAATAATGTTCTAGGGTTCAGTACTATCCATGGCTTTAGGCATCCACTAGGGGTTTTGAAATGTATCTCCCATAGATAAGGGGGACTATTGTACAAGGTTCTCCAAAATGTTCCTGGAAAAATGGAATAAAAGTACAAGTTTATCATAGTGCAAAAAGAAGTCTATGCGTATTTAACAATATGCTTTTTCCCTTGAACTTTTGAAGTCACCTCGTGTTAACTAACTGTATCACTTTATCAGTGGTATCAGCAGAAATCAGGATGGTGTCCAAATGATGGGAAGTGTAGAGTCTAGAAATGAGAATGTTCTAGGTTTGCATTATCTAAGCCACATGGGCTGCTGAATCCTTGACATGTGGCTAATGTGACTGAGAAATACAAATTCTAAAAGTTCAATTTCATTGGTCCAGCTGTGGCATGGCGGTTATAACATCTGGATTCTATATGGCCAACTGTGTGGCTTGAGAAACATGCCAGGCATGTGTGTATGTGCCTACAATTCCAGGAGGCAAAGATGGAGAAGAAATTATGACATAACCATTCCCCATGGGGGATACTTTCTAATTTTCTCTCTCTCTTTCTCCCCCTCTCCCCCCTTTCTGTGAGTGCACATGCCCTCTGGAAAGGTTTTTATTTTGGGTGAGATATTTTGCTATAGAGTGTGTGTGCTTGCTGGAGAGACAGAGAGACAGAAAGTAAGAAATCACCCACCCCAGGGGCGGGGGGGTGGCTATGCTGCAATCCTTTCTTCTCCATTCTCCTCTCAGGATTTTGTGCACACACTCAGATGCACCTGGCGTGAGTTTTAAGTCACTGGGTCCAGGACTTGAACTATGTGGGAGTCCAGTGATGTAACTGCTATGCCATCAGCTGGTCCCCACTGGAAAAAAAAATTTTTTTTGGAGAGGTTTTTGCTATAGGGCACGTGCGGTTGCCAGGAAGACAGACAAAGAGATAGAAAGCAAGAAATCACCCCCCAGGGGGAATGGCCACGCTGCAATCCCTTCTCCTCTTCTCTCGGGATCTTGGGCTCGCATGCACATGCACATGCACCTGGTGTGAGTTTAAGCCACCGAGTCTGGGACTCGAACCAAGGTCAGTTACATGGGAGTCCAGCGACATAGGCATTATGCTAACTGCTGGTCCCTGGGGAAAAAATTTTTTTAATCCACTTGATTAACTTAAATTTTATTAGAGTAAGCCTAAGGATCTTACATATAGTGTTTTATAAAATCTTCATAACATCAATGAAATAAGCTTTATTGGCACTTTACAAATGAAGAGACTTAGGCCTTGAAGGTTGCCTGAGTTCTCATAACTAAGAGAGGTGGGATCTGAATCCAGACCTCTTTCACTTCAGAACAGGTGTTGACAGTCATGTCCCTCAGAAAAATACAGGCTGAAGAACATTCTTCCAGTAGCTGAATTGTACTCGCCTCAATGTGATGCTAAAACTGTCAGACTTGGGGGTAATCGTCATTAGAGTGGTTTATCCGTGGTACTCCACCCAGAGTGGCCAACAAGGCTGCTGATTCGTCAGTGGAAGTGAGGTGTACATGAGCCCGCGAAGCAGTGACGTGTCCACACTGAGGACAGTCTTGATGAAGTCGCAGGTGTACCACAGCCTCTAGGCTCTCTGATCCTCAGGGGCAGGGCCGTTTTCTTCACCCTGGGGCCCCACTACTTACCCCTTGGATTCAAAGTACAACGCTCAATGTTCGGCGCATAAGAGCATCTCAGAGCACAGTGGTATCATCTACGCCAGCCCTAGACCACACAAACCTTCGACTGGCTCCACTGAATTTCATGACAACAAATAGAAAGTGGGTCCTCACATTCAATGGCAGTCGCACAACACCACATCCCAAATATGTCCACTCTCTGATGATTTTATATTTTCTTCCGAACGTCCAGCACCTTTTGCTCACTTTTGGGCTTTCTGTCCTAGCTGCGAAATCTTAGAACGGCCGAATCACCGGTCCGGTGGTTCCAACACGCGACAGGCGTTGGCGCCCCAGGGCGCAGGCGCGAGGCAGGCGGAAGCAGAGATCTGGAAGAGACTCGAACCGGAAGTCCCGCCCAACCTAGACGAAACTTCCGGCTATGATTGCTGGGGCCTTCCAGGACGGCTCCGGAGCGGCTGTGACGGAATGGTGCTGCTGGAGAGCGAGCAGGTACAGCCAGACGTGGCTGGACGAGGGCTCGATGCAGTTCGGGGCGTAGCTCGGGAGTCCCATGTTCTTGTGCGGGACGGAGAGGGTCTTGACGCGGCGGGACGAGGGTTTGGGGCTACCTAACCCGGCCGGGCTTGTTGTGTTCCAGTTCCTGACGGAGCTGACCAGGCTCTTCCAGAAATGCCGGTTGTCGGGCAGCGTGTACATCACCTTGAAAAAGTGTAAGCAGCCGGCGTCGCGGCAGGGCCGTTAGGAAGCTGGGAGGGGGGGACCTGGAAGCTGAGCGGTGCCCGGCCGGGGTGTCCAGTTTCTGGGAGCCTTTCTGCGCGGATCCCGCCGTCCCCTCCCTTGCTCCGTCTTATACTGGGCCCCTTCAGGTCTTGGCCCGGAAAATATAGTCAGGATTGTGGCTAGTCACCTAGGTTGCTTCGGTCACAGTGGAGCCCAAGCATGTCGATGCGTTTTTTGTCAGGGATTCCAAACCCTGCCGCAGTTAGTGAGAAGTAATCTGGTTTAATGTTAGTGTTTCCGAGGGGCAAGGAGAAGTAGTTTCTCCAAGACTGGCCAAACGCGTGAAGTGGTTACCAGAACTGGAACAGCAGGGATGGGTTAGGCCAGCTCTTCGTCTCTTCTCTGCTATTTTAACTTTTTTATTTATTATTTTTTTTTGAGAGGTTTTTGCTATAGGGCGAGTGCGCTCACCAGAACAGACAGAAATAGAGAGACAGAAAGTGAGAAATCACCCCCCAGGGGGGATGGCCATGCCGCAATCCCTTCTCCTCCAGGGATCTTGGGCACGTACGCGCCCGGCGAGTTTTAAGCCTCCAGGTCCGGGACACGAACCGCGGTCGACTACGTGGGAGTCCAGCGACATAGCCATTATGCTAACTGCTGGCCCTACTATTTTAACTTTCTGTCTACTGATCACCAACCGTACAGACTGTGCTCACCAGGTTGTATTTTTCATGCAGATGATGGTCGAACTAAACCCATTCCAAAGAAAGGTACTGTGGAGGGCTTTGAGCCTTCAGACAACAAGTGTCTGTTAAGAGCTACTGATGGGAAAAAGAAGATCAGCACTGTGGTGAGCTGGACTCCTAACCCTACATTTTGGAGTTTAAAGACTTGAAATAACTGAGGATGGGGCATAGCTGAACCAGGCTGTTTCTGCCTCTGACATCTTGGCACAATACTCCAGTAGAAAATGGCACAGAGGTACTTTGCCTCAGGCGGAGGAAAGTGGGGTAGGAAAATAGCTTTTAGTGTGTTATGACCCCTGATGTTGGGAAGGTTTTTTTGTTTGTTTAGTTTTGCTGTAGGGCTTCTGTACTTCCCTGAGGAAGAAAGGGGGGAAGATATGGATGAGGAATCACCCCCAAGGGGAATAGCCACACCACAATACCATCTCCATTTTCTTCTCAGGATTTGGGCACACATGCACATGTGCCCAGGGTATTTTTCAAGCCCCTGGGTCTAGGACTTCAGCCATACATCTGACCATGTGGAATCCAGAAGCATTAACCACCACACTACCAGCTAGCCTGGGAAGAAGCATTTTAAAGATTAGGGTGTTGTCTTTATGAGGCTGTTGAGATACCATCAGGTAGAGCAGAGAATACCTCTATGGATAGCAAGGGTTGTGACCTATTTTTTATTCCTTCTCCAGGTGAGCTCTAAAGAGGTGAATAAGTTTCAGATGGTGAGTTTCTGGTGTTCCCTATGTCCCCTTCTCAGGACAGCAGTCAGCATTATAGTGAACACTGAGTTAAGGTTGATATTTGGGTTCACTCTTCTGTCATCAATTTTACAAATATTTTTTTTCAAGAAAAAGCTGCCAGGATGTGAGTTTTTAATTTTTTTTTTTTTACCGATTTATTTTTTTCTTAATTTTGATTGTACTTTCAGGGGTATTTCTTTTGACCTGTAGTATAGTTGAACAAGAAGTTGCCTGCTCTTTTTTTGCTTAAACGTAAAAAAATGTGCAACTTGTGGGCAGGTGTTGCAGAAACTGCTGTAATGTGCAAGAGAGTATTTTACACTTGTACTCTTTGCCAGTATGTGTCCTGTGCTATTAACTCTTTATCAGATGGGCCGTTTTTCACTACTCTAAATCCCATTATAGAAATAAGGCAGTTGTTCCATCGATTTGTACCTCATCCCACTATGGTCATGCTGTTTTTCAGGCATACTCAAACCTATTGAGAGCCAACATGGATGGGCTGAAGAAAAGGGACAAAAAGAGCAAGAGTAAGAAGAGCAAAGCAGCACAGTGAAGGGCACTGAATTTCCTGCTTTCACCAACCACTTAATTGCTATTTTTCTTTTTGCCACAAAACTAAGTTCCTGGTTACCCTACAGCAACTGTTTTCATGTGGGATTATAGTCATTTTGGAGAGGAGTGGCATTGTTTACAGGATGGTTGTGGTAAGAAGCCAGCTTATTTTAGACCTGGCTGTTGGTCTGTACTACACGGTTGTATATTCTGGGCTGTAGTTTAAAAGTGTCTCAACTGTCATTGAAGAGCAATGTATCATTAAACCTGTCTGTTGATCAGTAGTGTCTCTTACTTATCCCTTGTGGTACCTCACTTGAGTAGCTGTAGCTGTCTTCTAGGTTATTGGAATTGGAACCTGACCGATTTATAAAAAGTCATGTTATCTCATGGGCATTCTTTCCACCTGGCTATATAATTTTATCATTATAGTCCCTTTAGCAGGTTTGAATGAGTTCTCCAAATGAAGCAGAGTTTGGTTAACCACCTAAAGATAAATACATTATGAAATCATCAAGAATAAAGATCCTGAGATGATAATGGTTTTTGGTTTCTTTATGCTCTTTAGTTCGGACACCTTCATATGCTTTGCTCTTGGGGGCAAGGAAAGAACAAGGTTGTCTTTTTTGTTTCAGGTACATAAAACTTTTTTTTTTGTTTTTTTTTTTGAGAGGTTTTTGCTGTAGGGCGTGTGCACTCGCCAGACAGACAGAAAGTGAGAAATCACCCCCCAGGGGGGATGGCCACGCCGCAATCCCTTCTCCTCCCGGGATCTTGGGCATGCACGCACATGTGCTCGGCATGAGTTTTAAGCCACTGGGTCTGGGATGCAAACGTCGGTTGACTACATGGGAGTCCAGCGACATAGCCATTACGTTAACTGCTGGTCCCTCATGTACATAAAATTTTTACTGTTAATAGATTTGCAATTAAAAGGCAGCAGATATAAGAAAGGATTTATTATATACAAAAAGATAAATTTACAATATACATGAAAAACTGACAAAGCTCTTTGTAGGACTTATGTTTTAAAAATAATTCTGCTATAGGGTGTGTGCACTCCCCAGAGAAAGAGGGAAAGTGAAAATCCCCCCTCCCCCCCCCCGGAGGGATGACCACACTGCAATCCCTTCTCCATTCTCCTCTTGAGATTTTGGACACACTTACACATGTGTCCAGTGTGTTTTTTAAGCCGTTTGGTCAGAATTCAAACTGCACAGTTGGCCGTGTGGGATTCAGCCTCCTTAACCAGTATGCCATCAGGCTGGCCCTGTGGAGACCTTCATAGAATGTAAGTTATTTTAGAATTATAATGAATGTACAGCATTCCAGTATTTCAGTAAGAATCTGAACAATTCAATTACAATTCTTAGAGTTAAAATAAGATTCTGTAGTAGTCATCTCTGTAGCTATACAGGAATAGCACAGACACTCTGCAAAAGAAGAGAAAAGGTAGATTGTTAAGACAGGCTCAATTTAATGGGTAAAGAGTAGAAGTTATTTTTATAACATTGTATGAGCTTTATTTAATCAAAAACAGTATGGAAGGTTAGTCACTAAAGTTTAACAGAAGTGACTGCAGTATAAGGTTCTTATAAGTAACCACCATTCATCTTACATGCTTCCTTGTTGCTTTTTAAGTGGATAGCATGAATGACTTGTATTTAGACTTGACATAAAGCAGTCATAGTTATTTCCTTTCATTTAAACACACTTCTGGAATCGACTAACCTGGGTGAACAAAATCGTAATTGGAATGGCTACTCCTAGGACTGCTGTGTTCTGTTACTGATGAGAGCACGATTATAATTCACAATCTTGGCAAGATTTACTGGTTGCTTAGAACAGCTTATCAGCCATCTAACCTCAGCAGGACAATAAAATGTGTTATTCTGAAACCACTCCCTGAGTTTTAGACATGTGAAACTTGGAATGCTTAAATGATAACTTACTTTTTTTCTACTTTGATGTTATAAATTTCATCACAGACTAATTTGAGGTATCTTTGCTTTGGCAGGCGTGACAACAGCTGCTTCACAGTTGTGTTAAATGCCTGTTCATCAGCATCCCACTACAAAAAATAGATAAGACTTAACAGAGCACTAAGGTTCATTAACTGGCTTTTTCTAGGTCACTAATGAAATGCCAATACCATTTCCCCTTCAAGTATTCAGAAAAATGTTAAAGGGAGATTGGAGAACTGGTGGGGAGACGACTGGAGTTCTTCCTTTGAAACATCAGTTTTTTAAAAACTAGATGACCTAATTAGTACTTGATTTAACAGTACCACAGCCTTAGTGTGCGAATACCCGGCTTTGCGAACTAACAGGACCAGAGACCAGTTATTTCTTACTGTTGCTTTGTGTAAATGGAGTTACCACCTCCAATATATATCCATTTGACTCAGTCATAAATAAGTAAATTGGCAGTATGGTGATATACTCTTATTATCTTTTTAAAGAGACTTTTGCTATAGGGTGCATGTGCTTGTTGGAGAGACAGAGAGACAGTAGTGAGAAATCACCCACCCCTTGGGGAGATGGCTATGCCACAATCCCTTCTCCTCTAGTCTCCTCTTGGGATTGTGGGCACGCACACATGCCTGGTGTGAGTTTTAGCCGCTGGGTCTGGGACTTGAACTGCAGTTGATTACGTGGGAGTCCAGCAACATAACCATTAGACCATCTGCTGGTCCCAGTATACTCTTATTTCTAACAGAGCAATAGAAAATATAAAATACTGGGTATCTTCAAAAATGTTTGTGAAAAATGCATAGTCTAAAGAAATGGCATAGATTTCAATTTTTAAATTTATTTTGCATCAGAATAAACTTGTCCTTTAATTCTGTTTTATCCACAGATCTTTTGATGCCCCTCCACTAGTTTTGGGACAAAGTTCATTTTTAAGCGTATCTGTAACTAAACACTCTGAATAGACAATATTTTTTGGTATGATACGTTACAAAAATCACCTGTAGCTATGATTATAGTGAATAGTGTTTTGTTTGTTTGTTTTTTAAAGTTTTTGCCATAAGGTGTGTATGCTCACTGAAGAAAGGGAAAATGAAAAAAATCACCCCTCAGGGGAGATGGCCATAGTGCAGTCCCTTCTATTTTCCTCTTGGAATTTTGGGTATTGTACATGTGCCCAGTGTGACTTTTTTTTTCAAGCCACTGGGTCTGGGACTCAAACCGTGGAGCTGGCCATATGGGATCCAGTTGCCTCAACCTCCATGCCATCTACTGACACATTCAAAAATTTTAAAGTTCTTATTTTGGCTATTTGATAATAAAAGTATGTATCTGTGGAAAAAATATTAAAAAGATCTAAATTAGTTTTAATTTTAACAAAAGTATCTTCTGTATAGCTCAAATCTGCAAATTGGCTGGCATGAGAGTTTACTTGAGGGACAGCTTAACACAGTGGTAAGAACACAGAATCTGCCAATCTGCCACAGTTCAAATCCTGCTCTACCATTATTATCTGGATAACCTTCCTTGAGTAAGATACTTATTTAACCTCTCTGCTTCTATTTTTTATAAAATGGTACCATTTATCTGTAAAATGGAGATTATAATTGGGTTATTATATTAAATGAGTAAATATTTGTAAATGCTTACAGCAGGGCCTGCCAGATTCTGACACACAGTAAATACAGTATGTGTTGTTTAAAATAAAGGTAAGTGTCTCTGGAATGAAAATGAAAGTCACTAGAAAGGTATGATTGCCTCAGCACAGGACTTACGAATACATATGTCACATAAAAGGACACAATTCCTGGAGCTTCCAGGAAAACACTATCAATAAGACAATTTAATATCATTTTTAATTTTCTTTTGCCAAATTAACAGCAAAGATTCGGGATTTTAAAAGCCACAGAGTTGAAGAGTTCATATTACTTACCTCTAATGATAAAAACTGTAAGATTGTTTCTTTGGGCAGATCCACCTGTTAACACACAGAAATGTACATCATCTCCTGGGCACCTGTCAACAGGACATACTGCCTTGTGACTGGTGTCAGGTGTGGAAGGATGGGTGTGAAAAGGGCTGGCAGCATCTGGGATGCTACTGTGCTGTAAAATTGATGTAATGAACTCTAGTGATAAGGTGTCATCATTGGCGAACTGAAAAACAGTGTCACACCCCAAAGGACTGACACTGCTTATGTATGCTTGGTAAGGCAAAGGCCTGAAACGTAGACAAATTATTTTGATTTTTATACCCTCCCCACCCCCCACACCTTGCAGAAAGGAGAAACAAAAATCCCAAGAAACTTCAGTCTTCTCCCCTGTTCTTTATAGGCTTAGACTACATATGGTTCACATTAGTGACATCAAGGCCTGAATCCAAATACTGCTGACACTGAGCAAAAAGTTCTGAGTTCTGAGGTAATTATTTTGACAGTATGGACAGAAGCCATCTTCAAAATGTTAAAGAAGGCAACTTACAGCCAAAATTTCAATTTCACTGCTTTTCTGATGTAAGTTGGCAAGTGAGGTCTGAAGTCGCGTTTGTACCTATCAAAAAGAAAATGGAGTTCAGGATGTGTTAAACCAAGCCATCTTTTTCTTGCCATCTTATTTCCTATTCCAGGAAACAGTCATAGGGTAACAAATCAAAACCTAGAAAGGATTCCAAATAGTACCTAAAGATTTGCTGTATTAATCTACCTCAGAAAGGGGTATTCTCATCCAAAATTTCAAGGGAAATGATAGGTGCAGAGAAGCCAGACGTACATGGCAACCATGGTTCAAATTTCTAGTCTGAACAGCTTGAAACACACCAAGTGTGTGAGGGTCCAAGATCTGGTGAGCTGGAGGACGGGGGATCATGCTATGACCAGACTCTGTGGACAGTGCTCGTCTCTCATCCTCATGTGTGCATACGTTCTATCATGAATAAAGACAAACTCAGGAAATGAGATCTTACAGCCTGTCTCAATTGTTTAAAATTCTTGTCACTTGTTTCTTTTTTTTGGTTTTAATTTGTTAGAGGACACCTGTGCTTGCTGGAGAGAGACGGGGGGATGGTCACACTGTAGGTCCTCCATAGGGGTTGGTCACACTGCAGTTCCTTCTCCATTTCTCCTTTCAGGATTTTGGGCATGCATGCACACATGCCTGGCATGTTTTTTAAGCTGTTGGGTTCAGGACTTGAGCCATGGTCAGCCACGTGGAATCTAACTGATCTAGACCTGACCCATACCTGTCATTTGTTTTATTATTTTGAAATGAGACCTAAATAAAGCTCTCTACAAGTGGCAGCAGTGAGGTTTTAGTATTCAGCTAAGTTTGGAAAAACGGGACAGTGACAGCAATGAGGATGGGAACTATTCAGGAGGTGATGAAGGCAGTAGGAAAATGGGGAAAATGGATTTCCACCGAAGTCCCAAGGAATGGAAGAGCTTTACAAAAACAATTTTGTATTTTAATCTTAATTACATTTCTAAATAATGACTGCTCTCAACACCCTTTTCCACGTGTCCACAGCATACTAATACTCATTCGGTATATTTATTTTTATTTATTTGGAGAGGTTTTTGCTTTAGGGTGCGTGTGCTTGCCAGAAAGAGAGAGACAGAAAGCGAGAAGTCACCCCCCTCGGGGGGGGGGTGGTCACACAGCAATCCCTTCTCCATTCTCTTGGGATCTTGGGTATTCACGCACATGCGCCCGGCGTGAGTTTAAGTCACTGGGTCTTGGACTTGAACCTCAGTCGACTACATGGGAGTCCAGCGACGTAGCCATTATACCAACTGCTGGTCCCCATTCGGTATATTTAACTTGGCATTCTGTTACTTATTTTCTTGTATTGCTCTTTAAGCATATAATATATATGCTTCTAAGGCGATATGTTCATATGTTCTTTGAGGGCTGGAGCCATGTCAATTCCTTTTTGTTTTTACCCTGTCCTTGGCATAGCATCAGGCATATTGCAGATAGCAGATCTAAAGATGGAATGAAAAACCTGACTTCAGTCGTGTGATCAACCTCTTTTGCTTTGTTACTCAGAACAAAAATGACACTCAAACTGCCACTGGAGCCAGATTAGAAAGCTTTCTGTTTAATCCATCATGTGGAAACAGATGCTTCTAAGTGCTCACGGAGCACACTGATGGCACCTTGGGGGACAGATGGAACTGAATTCCTGGTACCAGAGAGATGCTTTGTATTGGTGATATTTTCAGAAATCACCAACTTAGGGAAGTGAGAAGGAAAACATTTCCAACAAATACTGTTTCTTATTTTCTTTTCCAGGTTTTTTTGTGGCTCACATTAGAAAGCAAGAAGGCCAGTCCCGTAATCTAGTGATTAAGGGAGCCAGATGCCACATGGTCAGCTGTGGTTTTAGTCCTAGCCCTGGAGGCTTGAAAACATGCACTGCATAGGTGCTCAGAATCTCAGTGGGACGTAGAGATGGAGAAGAAGGGATTATGGGCATGACTACACCCCCCACAACCCCCCACCCCCCCAGAGATTGCTTTTTTTCCCTTTTAAAAAAAATAGCAAAGAAACCCAGGCCCGGTGTACCTGAGTTTCATACCGCCGCCTCGTGCTAGCTGACAGCTTCTCCGGGGCTATCACACTCACAATGGGAACTACTGTTGCTCCATGGATTTCAAACAAACCTGAGACAGAGATTTTCAGAATTTATGGCCTTATCTAGTTCTCCTTCCTGTAACACACCACAGACAGTAGGCAGAGTCTACCAATAAACATCCTATTGTGATTCTAAGGGATACACCATGTCCAAGCCTTGTTTTCTATCTCTCAAGTCACCTGTACTTGACTGAGGAGGAGCATAGAACCCCAGCACTCAGCACCTCAGGTGGAGATGGGGAGTGATAAAGGTGTGGGGAGGCAAAAATGAGTCACCAAAAAACTCGTGAGCCTAAGAAAATCAAACTTAAGATCTCCCAAACTCTACTACTTCTTTAAATCCCTCAAAGTATTTGAAATCCTTCCAAAATCCAACTCTGTTAAAATGAAATGTCTTCTCGTGGACCTAATTGAAACACTTTCAGTTAAGGTTGATGGAGAGATGAAACTAAAAGCATAATTATCACTACTGTTCCCTTTGGCTTTCATGAAAACAAATGTATATAGTATCTTTCTCCAAGGGATTTCAAAATACTTTTCTTCAGTCCTCTGTATGGAGAAAATTACCAGGGAAATTATCCACATAATAAAGTGAGTTAAAAAATTATTAAACCAGTTGTAAAAATAAGACTGTTTATAAATAGATGTGTTAGTTTAAAAATACATTTACAGAGTTAGCCCCAGTCATAAGTGCTTAGAGCAGACAACACACAAGCATTATATTCACGTTGTAATTACTAATTATACCTGAAGCATTAGAAAATGACCCCTTCAGATTTTGTACTGCAAGATTATCAGAAGCTTCTCTAAAAACAAGCAAACAAAAACAATTAGAAAACAGTCAATAAAGCAAAAGCAACACATAACTTTCAGTAAGCTATACATATAGCGGGTCACTTTTTCTATTAAAAAAACGTTCCTTTTGGTTATTAGGAAAAAAAATTTTGCACTTAATTATGTTTTTGGTCAAGAGCAAGTAAAAAAATAAAAGATGTCATTTCAAGTTAACAAATGTCTAAAGAAAATATTCTGAGTTTTTTCAGTGGAGTTTGAAATGCTGGCTAGTTTCAATAGAATATAATGGGTGTTCTTTCTGTTCCCTGCATGATGCGAGGAGACAATAGCAACCACAGGCCCACCTTCATTACAGAAGCAGCCTGAAGACCACTTACAGGAGAACATTTGGTAAATAGGGATAATTCTTTCAAAAGCTGTAAATGGATGTTCTTTCAAATGCTGTGAATTAATTTATAGCCTTTTGAGAGACACAATAGCACTACGCCTTAGGAAAACAGGGAAATAATCATTTGTATTGAGCAATGATTTTGAACCTTCCCCATTACTAAATCTCATCACACTTTTAAGTATCTTAATGGTATTTACCCTTTCTATTATTTTAATTCTTTTTTTTTAACTCTTGTAAACCTGTCTCTGATTTATATCTGTAATTCTACTCCCCTATTGACTTCAAAAACATTACAACCGCTCAGAAAAGCTTGAATTTATGTTTTAAGACAGGATTATTTATTTAATTTTTCTCATTTATTATTATTTTAATTTGACCAGAGAGGGACAGAAAAGTGAAAAAGCAAGTTGCCAGGTCCAAGACTTAAACCGGGGTCAGCCATGTGGGAGTCCAGCACCTCAATCACCATGGCACCTGCTGGTCCCTGATGGGGAGTTTATTAGAACCAGGTGTAAATGGGAAGGGGTGGGGCCATGGGAGGCAGCAAGGGTTTCCCTTCTATAAGCCCTCATCTCTCGGTCTTGGCACTCTTGACATTTGGTGCTAGATAGCTCTCTATGGGCAGGAGGGGGGTCAGTCCTGTACACTGTAGGATGTTTCAGCAGCACCCTCAGCATGACAACCAACAGCGTCACTGATATTAACAGCCAGATATCCCTGGTTGAGAATCACTGATACAAATAAAAAATGAGTGCCGTGGAACCTTGAAAAGTTTGTGGAAAAATAGAATTAAAGTACGAGTTTATTGGGGGCAAAATATTTTGAAATCCATGCATAGTTTCTTCATAAAATGCACTATATGAACTCTCTGGAGACCTCTGAGGTCTGATTACGAACATACCTATAAGAGTTGCAAATATAGGGACCAGCAGTTAGCGTAATAGCTATGTCGCTGGACTCCCATGTAGCCAACAGCAGTTTGTGTCCTGGACCTGGTGGCTTAAACTCATGCAGGGCACGTGTGCGTGCGTGCCCAAGATCCCGAGAGGAGAATGGAGGAGAAGGGATTGCGGCGTGGCCATCCCCCCTGGGGGGTGATTTCTTGCTTTCTATCTCTCTGTCTCTGTCTTTCTGGCGAGCGCACGTGCCCTATAGCAAAAAATAAAAACTCTCAAAAAAAAAAAAAAAAAAAAAGAGTTGCAAATATATAGAAAAGCTTAACAAAGGAAGTGAAGATCACTTACGATCCCATTAACTAGAAATAACTAGAATTAAAGATTTGGCATATCCAGGGAATAGCAAACAGGTGGCATGGTGGTTAAGGCACTGGACACTCCCACATGGTCGACCATGGTTCGAGTCCTGGACCTGGTGGCTTTCTTTTTCACTTTCTCTCTCTTTCTCTGTGTCTCTCTCTGGTCAAATTTAAATGAATGAATGAATAAAGGGGCCAGCAGATGCTCAGCAGTTATGTCACTGTACTTGCACGTAGTCAACTATGGGTACAGTCTCAGACCCACTGACTTGAAATTCACGTCGGGCACGTGTGTGTGCATGCCCAAGCTCCCAAGAGGAGAATGGAGAAGGGATTGCAGTGGCCATCTCCTAGGGGGTGATTTCTTGCTTTCTGTCTGTCCAGTGAGTGCACACGCCCTATAGCAAAAATATTTCTCAAAAAAAAAAAAGAATGAATAAATAGAATTCAATAAATATTAAAAAAAAATTCCCCGTTTAAAAAAAAAAAATCTGGCATATCATGGGCCAGCCAGATGGCATGGTGGTTAAGGTGGCTGGATCTCACATGGCCAACTATAGTTTGAGTCCCAGACCTGGTGACTTCGGAAACATATTGGGCATGTGTGTGCATGCCCAATCCTAAGAGGAGAAGGAACTGTGACGTGGCCATCCCTGGGGGCGGGGGGTTCTCACTTTCTCCAGTGACTGCATACGCCCTCTATCAAAACACTAAAAAAAAATAAATAAAGCACATCCTTCTAGACATTTTTTTATGTACAGATTGTGCATTTTAGTTACAATAAAAATGACATTATGGGGACCAGCAGATGAAGTAATGACTATATCGCTGGACTCCCATGTAGTCAACTGTGGTTTGAGTCCTGAACCCGGTGGCTTAAACTCACGCTAGGCGTGTGTGTGTGCATGCCCAAGATCCCAAGAGGAGAATGGAGAAGGAGGGATTGCAGTGTGGCCATCCCCCCGGGGAGTGATTCCTTGCTTTCTGTCTCTCTGTCTCACTCTTTCTGGTGAGCGCATGCACCCTATAGCAACCCCCCCCCATGATATTATCTTATACATTCTATTTTGTGGCTATCCTTCCATGTCAATAAACTTGGGTTTACTAAAATCGGCATTTTTAAAGGCTGCACAGTATTTCACTATATTTAGCTTAATGCAAACAATCTTCTGCTAATGCATATGATTGTAAATGAGGATTCTCAAAGTGTGATCTAGGGATCCTTGGAGGTCCCTGAGGTCCTTCCAAGGGCTCTGAAAAGTCATAACTTCATCATAATACTAAAATGTTAATTGTCCTTTTTACTCTCACCCCCTCACAGAACACGCAGTTGAGTTTCCAGAGACTACATAATATATGATACCACAACACATTGAATGGAAGTAGATATCAGAATGGTTTCCAGGCCAGCTGGTGGCATGGAGGTTAAGGTGGCTGGATCCCACATGGCCAACTGCATGGTACAAGTTCGACCCAGTGGCTTGAATAAAACACTAGGTGTGTGCGTGTGTGCATGTGTGCCCAAAATCCTGAGAGGAAAAGGGACTGCATTATGGCCATCCTCCCAAAGTGCTTTCTCCCCACTCCCACCCTACCTTCTCTGTGAGTGCATGGGCCCTACAAGCCAAAAAAACCAAACCTGGCCTAACTTTTTCACAAAAGGACCAAATTGACTTTTTTTTTTTTTTTTTTTTTTTAAAAAGAGAGATTTCTTTGTTATAGGGCATGTGTGCTTGCCAGAGAGACAGAGGCAAGACAGAAAGCAAGAAATCACCCTCTGGGGGGATGGCCGCACTGCAGTCCGTTCTCTTCCATTACTCTCTGGGGATCTTGGGCATGCACACGTGCACCCATTGTAAGGTTTAAGCCACCAGGTCCAGGACCTGAACCATGGCTGACTACATGGGAATCCAGTGACATGACTATACACCATCTGCTGATCCCTCACATTGACTTGTAAAATAAATTCACACAGGTAATTGCAGCCAGTTTTCTGGGCTTTTGCCTACCAGGTTACCTGACATTCCTTTCATCACTGACTTTAGTCCTCAGTTTCTGCACAACATGGTCCACAAGATCAGACTCCAGCACACGCTTCTCTGTTTGCCTTTCCTTCTCAAAAGACTTAACCTTGAAAAGAATGAAATGAATCCATCATTTGGGGGTTGCTGAAGCCCAATAGCTGATTCAGAGTACCACAGTAAGATGACCAAATCGACAGTTTAGATTGGTAGTTGAAAGGATAAAGTATTTCTTGATGGCAGAATGTGATAAATTGAAGATATATATTATTAGGTTGTCAGAAAAGTCATGATACATTTTTATAAAGAAAATCAGAAAAATACATCATGACTTTTCCAATTACCCAATATTATCCCCTCAAGAAACCCTTAAGGTACTTAAGGCAGCTGGATCCCACAAAAGCCAATTGTGTGGTTAGAACCCTAGTTCTGGTTGCTTGAGAAACATGCCAGGTACGTGTGTGTATTTGCCCCAAATCCTGTAAGAATGGAGAGGTAGGGGAGAAGGGATTGTGGTGTGACTATGCCCAATTGTGGGTGCTTTCTCCTTCTCCCTCTCTGTCTCTCACTCTGGTAACCATATGCAACCTCTCAGTAAATAGATCTATGGTACAGACAAAACAGAGTAATAAAAAGTAATCTAAAAAAAGGAATGAAAAGAGAAAAAAATGGACAAAAGAATGGAGGAACCAAATAGAAAATGAATAGCAAAATTATAGAGTTAAACCCAATTATTTAATAATTGCATTACATAAAAATAGTCTAAATGCTCTGATGAAAAGACAGGTCCTGTCAGAGTGGATATAAAAACAAAACTTAACCTAGTAATCTATATAAGAAATCCACTTTAAATATCAAGGCTGGTTAAAAATAAAAGAATGAAAAAGGATAAGGAAGCAAATACTAACCAAAAGATTGCAGAACAAGAACTATTACCAGGGGTAAAACAGAACATTTCATGAGGACAATTCATCAGGAAGATACAAAATCCTGAAGGTGTATTCACCTAATAACAGATCTTCAATATCCATAAAACTAACAGGACATAAAACTAACAGAACTACGTGAAAAAATAGTTTCATGAACATCTGGAGATTTCAACACTTCACTCTCAGTAATTGATAGGACAAATAGACAAAATAATCAGTTAAGGTAGAAAAGACTTAAATAATGATATCCCTTAACATGACATAATTGATATTTATTGAACACTGCTCCCATAGAATATACTTTCTTTTCAAATGCACATAAAACATTCCCAAAATAAGACCATATTTTGGACTTTAAATATGTCTTAAAAAAAAAAACAAACCCAAAAAACAAAAACATTTCTCAATAAAAGGTCTGAAATCATAGAGTATGTTCCCTGGCCACAGTGAATTTAAACTAGACATCAATAAAGAAGGATAGCTAGTGGGGCTGGCAGGTAGCATGGTGGTTAAGGCACTGGACTCCCATATGGTTGACCATGATTTGAGTCCCAGATAGGGTAGCTTGCTTTCTCACCCTCTGGTCAAATTAAAAACTAATAATAATTAAAAAGGAAGAAGGATATCCGGAAAATTACCCAAGTGTTTGGAAATTTAGCCACACACTTCTAATAAGTTATGGTTCAAAGAAGAAATCTTAAAGAAAATTAGAAAATATTCTGAACTGAATGAAAATGAAAGCACACCCTATAAATATGTGTGGGATGCAACCAATACATTACTTAAAAAAGAAAATCTAAAATCAGTGATCTAAGTTGGGAGCTAGCAATTTTTTATTTTTTATTTTTTTTTAATTGTCAAAGGGCATGTGCCCTTGCCAGAAAGAGATGGACAGAGTGAAAGTATCCCCCAGTGGGGCATGGTCACACCATAATCCCTTTCCCCCAACTTCTCCATCCTGCCTGGATTTTGGGCATGCATGTACATGTGGCTTGGTATGCTTTTCAAGCCACTGAGCCTGTGGGATCTAGTGTCTTTAACTACTAGGCTATGAGGCTGGTCTCAGTTTTTGTGGATCATATACAGTCCTCGTCACAAACATTTCTTCTTCCGTTTTCCTTTGTCTTTTTTGTTTAAAGAATTATTTTATAACTTTATTTATTTTATTTATCTATTTTAATTTGACCAGAAAGGGAGTGGGGGGGAGAGAGAGAAAGTGAAAAAGCAAGCCGCCAGGTCCGGGACCCGAACCATGGTTGGTCACGTGGGAGTTCAGCATCTTAACCACCAGGCCACCTGTCAGCCCCTTTTTTTCTTATTAAATTAAAAAATATAAAGACAATTCTTAGCCACTGGCCAAACAAAAACAGGTTGTGGGCTGGATTTGGCCCAGGTTATAATCTGTCAACCTGTGATTTAAAGTTCTATCTGGGGACCAGTAGATGATAAAATAGTTACGTCACTGAATTCCCACATAGTTGACCGTGGTTCAAATCCTGGACCTGGCAGCTTGAAACTCATGCCAGGTGTGTGTGCATGTATGCCCAAAATCCCAAGAGGAGAATGGAGGAGAAAAGACTGTGGTGTGGCCATCCCCCCAGGGGGTGATTTCTTGCTTTTTGTCTGTCTCTTGATGTCTTTCCAGCATGCACAGCTGCCCCATAGCCAAAATCTCTCTTTAAATAAAGTTCTAGCTGAAGAAAATGGAAAGAATCAACCAAATTCAAGTAAGCAGAAAAAAGAAAACAACAAAGGTAAGAGTAGAGATCAGTAAAACAGAGAAGTGAACAAACCATAGAGAAAAATAAATGACATCAAAAGCTGGTTCTATTGAAAGACAAATAAAATTGATCTACCTCTAGCTAGGCTGGTCAGGGAAAAAAAGAAGGGTGATACAAATTTATCAATCAGGAAAGAAAGAGGGCATATCAATATAGATCCTAGAGATAGTCAGGGAATATTTTATAATGTAGAGGTCTAGATCAATAAAGCAGAAGTCAAGAGCTGCTCAGGAGAAGATGGACCCCATATGGTGGTCATGGTTCAAATCTCCAGCCGAGTTAGCCTGAAACACACTGGATATGCACATGAATGTCCAAGAGCCAGTGACCTGGAGGACTGGAAGAAGACTGTGGCATGACCAGACGCCGTGGAGGCTGCTCCTCTCTCTGCTGCTCTCACGCACAGGTATGGGCACATGCACTCTCTCATTAACAACATAAAACCCCAAAACTTAGATGAAAAGATCTGGGAAAGATACAAACTACCAAAGCAAACTCTTTGAATAGCTCCATTTCTAGGCCTCTATGGCTCTACTGGTGAATTCTTCTAAATACATGAAGGCGGAACTCTACTACTAATTATACACAATCTCACAGAAAACAGAAGAGAACGCTATCCAACTCATGAGGCCAATGTTATCCTTATATCAAAACCACACAAAGACATTATAGGAGAAACATTTTTTAAAATGCTGAAAAAAATTTTTTTTCTTTTAAAAAGAATTATATTTCTGAGCATGTTTAGTTATAACAAAGTAAAACTGGTTCGGAAGCAGCCAGCGGACAGGCCAGTCAGCACATATCAGCTCTACTTATTATTCTTACTTTCTTAGATAGAGAAAGAGAATAAGGAGAGAAAAGCACAAAAATTTATAACCACAACTTCTAAAACTCTAAGGAAGTTTGGATCCTCTCCTCCTCATTTTTTGCACTTTCTCTAGTAAGAAGCTTAGTCATTCAAAGGAGAGCTGAAGTAACAAGCTCCACCCTTCCACGAAGGCCAGGGCTCAGTGGGAAGGGGGGCGTTCCATGGGTAATACACGGTTTGGGAATTCTGACTGTTGGACTGTGAAAACTTTCCTGTGGTCTTTACCTTGACATGGCTTCCTTCTTTATCGGAGACAAGGGCCACATAGGTGATTTCATGGTGTCTGCAGTACTCTTGTAATTCCTCTTGGGACTGAAACAAATAAATGGTATATAACATAAATACAGAGCCCCAGGATTGGCTTCATGTGATGAAGGAGAATAGAATTCCTGTTCTCAATTGTGTTCTCACAGTGAATTCCTGACTGTGCCAACTTTGGAACATAAATATCAAGCAAGCAGGTAACAGAATACAAGGGAGAAACCAGACCTCTTTTGCCTTCCTTACTTGCATGACTGTGACTGCTTTGAGGGGCCATGAACGATGTGATTGGGACACAGTAGGAAAGTTTCAAAAGCTTCAAGTTTTTTTTTTTTTTTAAAAATTATTTTTTAAATTTTATTTATTCATTCATTTTATGTATTTATTTTAATTTGACCAGAAAGACAGAGAGAGAGAGAGAGTGAGAGAGGGAAAGTGAGAAAGCAAGCCACCAGGTCCGAGACTCGAACCATGGTCGGCCATGTGGGAATCCAGCGCCCCCATCCACCATGCCACTTGCTGGCCCCTTTGTTTTATTTTTTAAATAGTTTGGTATAGGACATGTGTGCTTGCCAGAGAGAGAGAAAGAGAGAGAGCGAGAAAGAGCAAGAGAGAGGGAGAGAGAGAGAGAGAGAGAGGGGAAAAGTGAGGAAGTACCCCTAGTGAGGATGGCCACATTGTAATCCCTTCTCCTCCATTCTCCTCTCAGGATTTTAAGCACACCCACCCAGGGTATTTTCAAGCCACTGGGCCTGGGACTTGAACCATGCAGTTGGCCATGTGGGATCCAACCTCTCTAACCACCATGCCACCTGCTGGCCCTAAAAGCTTCAAGTCTTAATGAAAGGTGCACTAAACATACACAGAGTAAAAAAGACTTTGAAGAAAGGAAGAGCAACAAAGGAAAGTGAAAGGCGAAAAGCAGAACTGAAGCATAAAGCAAACAAGCATCATGGCAGAGAACCCTGCAGAGAATAACAATGTACAGAACTTTAGGAAGTCACTGGTCACTCTGCTTACATTTTACTGCAAGATAGAACAGTTCTCTAACAGTTTATAAAACAAATGAACAAGCGGAAGAGGATACTGCTCTGTCAAATGATTAAAAACTGTTGCTCAGGACACTGCTAATACAGATTTTTTTTGGGGGGAGAGAGGTTTTTGCCATAGGGTGTGTGCACTCGCCAGACAGACAGAGAGAGACAGAGAGACAGAAAGCGAGAAATCACCCCCCAGGGGGGTGCAATCCCTTCTCCTCCATTCTCCTCTCGGGATCTTGGGCACGCATGCACACATGCCCGGCGTGAGTTTTAAGCCACCGGGTCTGGGACGCAAACTGCAGTCGACTACATGGGAGTCCAGCGACATAGCCATTACGCTAACTGCTGGTCCTGCTAATACAGATTTTGATACAATACACACAAATGGACAGCAGGCACAGTCCTTCTGCAGTGCTGGAAACCATGTGGACAACCACAGGTTTGGATCCCCAGTTCAGCCTGAAAACAAACACACCAAGCATGCATGTAGGTTCTTAAGATCCTAACGAGCAGGAGGGCTGGGGGAAGGGGGTCGGAGATGACAAGACCCTGCCCAGGGTGCTTCTCTCTTTCACACACATGCAGGCACACATGCTATCATTAAAAGCAGAAGTATGACAGCAGAAGCTTTGGAAGCAACGTGGCAGATTATGTAAAGGCAGCAGGAGCGACTGTGGTGGGTCTGGGTCTCTGGTCACTGCCCTGCTCTAGAGCACCTTTAGACTGGATAATTCCCTGGGAGTAGACTCCCTCTGTGATCAGCTTGTGAAGACACAAATATTAATTACCTGACGCCCCCTCTCCACCATTCTAACGGGCAAGCAGGTGTCAAGGGGTGCCATGTTCCTCACCTCCACACCCAGGGCAGATGGCAGGCCTGAGTGTTGTGAGAAGTCTCAGAACACAAAGCCACAGACACAGGAAACACAGAATGCCATCAGCAGTGTGGTAGGCTGGCTAAAGTAATTCCTGGAACATGTGAATGATCTGGATGGACCCAGTGTAACTATACAGGTCCATACAAAAGGGAGAGAGGCAGGCAGATCAGAGTTAGAAGAGGTGAGCTCAGGAGTGGAGGTCAGAGAGGAAAGCAGGTGTTACGCTACTGAATTTGAAGATGGAAGAAGGGGCCAGGGCCACCTAGAAGGCCTCTAGGTGATAAAAAAGGCAAAGAAACCAATTTTCCCCTAGAGCTTCCAGAAGGAACTAGCCCTTCTGACACCTTGATTTTAACTCAGTGAAACTGACTTCTGACTTCTAGAAATGTAAGAAGACAAAAATATATTTTGTTTTAAGCCACTAAGCTTGTGGTGATTTGTTACTGTAGTAATTGGGATCTAGTGCAGGAAGCAACTCTAACCAAAAGAGAGATACAGAGTTTGACAGAATCTAAAGGTGGACAGGATCATTTGTCATGAACACCCATAACCACTGCACTTCACTCCCTGGTGCGTTTTGTCCCATTACCTGTGACCAGTCGTACATGATTTCTGCGGTGATTCCTGCT